CTGCTTGATGCATACCAGCCAGCTGCCTTTAAGTCACCATCACTCGCATTGCGGGAATCAAAAAGGTGCTTTCACGGACACAAGACAAAGTCACAGGGTACTTGAAAGTATTCATGCTCAGCTTGCTCTGCCGCTGGTGATGGGCCGCTGACACGAGCGTGACGCTTTGCACGCATACAGTCCGTCCAGCAAGATGCTGAAGCCGGGACCTCCATCGAACAAGCGAGCGGTGCGATTTGATGGCATGTCGCCTGTCTAGCACCCAACTCTATTCAGAGAAGATGGCTGTGCTTGCTCCAATGCTGACATTGCCTTCCTTCGCCCTCATCTGCTCACCTTTGCGTAACACCCTCGCAGCGCTTCGCAGGAGCGCCCCCTCGCTCCGCGAGCACCCTCTCCACGCAGTCCGGATCCACCACCCACTCTCGCGCACCTCACCTTTCCGCCCACTCAGCATCAGACCAAACAGCCAGCAGCTCTTACCACGCCCATGAACCCTCGCCTGAAGGACGCTTCTCGGTAGATGCAGAGAGCGAGGTGGAACCAGTGCCAACTTTGGCGCTGTTCACCTCCAAACATCAAGTGGGCGCTGCATTCTTTGACGCTCCTCAGCGCGCTCTGCTGCTACTTCAAGATACTGCCGAGGCCGGACTAGAGGTCGACTACGGCTGCACTGCGCCTTTTGACGCACTCGAAGACAATTCGATGGATTCGACTGGAGCATCGAGCCGGAGCGTGGATGCTCCACAAGAGAAGATGGTGGATACTACCAGTCTGCGTGCGCTGCTGTAGTGCATGCGCTCGCTGGCGGGTTAGAAAGCGGGCTCACTTGTCTCTCTCTCACCTACCCACAGTCGTCGAGCAGTTGCGCCCTCAGCGCGTCCTCGTCGCGCCAAGTTGCTCAGTGACGTGTATGGACACTCTCAAAGCAGCATGTACGCATCGGGCAAGACAATTACGATCACTTTGCAGAGCGCTAACAGAGTAGTGGTTGACATTACTAACATGACAGTGCGCGAGCAAGGTGGCACGCTGGAACTGGTCGACAAGAAGAATTTCAATTTAAATGCTGGCAAGAGTCGACTGGCTGATTTGAGGCTGCCCTTGATCGAATCGACCGGCTCTGCTGTCACGCATCTGCATGACTCGGCGATCTCTCTGCGGCTGAGCAGCATGATCAACGTGGACCATATGACCCTCTCTGTGAGCGAAGCCATTTACCCTAACGACGCCGTCTTCACCAAGACTGACGTCAAACGATAGATCATGGCTGCTGAGGCCCTATTGAAGCACCTTTCCTCCGAGAGTCTTTCTGCAGGAGGCGATCTCGACGATCGAGTACCGGTTACGAGCATCGAGCTGCTCAGTCTGGATCACTGTCTCTCTATTGATGGAGACTCTCGCCTGGCTCTGAGCGTATTTCAAGAAGAGCAGCACGCCACCCTCCACAGCGATCGCGGCAAAGAGGGGTTGAGCCTGTTCTGTCCGTCTCTACATCTCTTGGCTTCAAGTAGCTCGCTCACTGACCAGGCTCATCGCCCGACTCGGTCCAGCTTTGCTCAATCAGACAAAGACCGCTAGTGAGTTCTCAAGGCGAACTCAACTCATGGCTAGTCCGGCTAATCTATGGCGCACCTTTTCATGCAAGACGGGCATCACGTTCTTCGTCGATGGCTTATGCTGCCGAGCTGCGATCTGAACTTGCTCAGCATGCGCCACGACGCGGTCGAATGCCTCTCGATGCCCAGGAACGTGGAAGCGGTCGCATCAATCTCTAGAGCTTTGAGAAGCGTCAAAGCTGTGCCTAAGCTGGTCCTGCGCTTGCGGAAAGGGACAGCGGCCCTTCAACATTTTCGCAGCGTCGTAAAGGTCCGTGAAGCGCGTACACGAATGTGAATGCGAATTGGGTACGAGGCGCGCGAAGACTGATGCCTCATCTACCCTTTGTTACCATGCAATGGACGTCGACTCCGGCAGTACTGCAAGGCCCTGCTCGAAGTCCAAGACAGTCTGCGATTGCTTGAGGCTGCCGCGAGCGTCCATGTGATCTTGAAGGTGGGAGCACGCCGAGTGCTTTCCATTGTAGGCCGGAGCTCATGCTGCGCTTACCCTTCCACCCATGGGAAGGCTGACACAGCGATTGACGCGCGTGTTCTCAAGAGAGTCATCAACAACATAGAGGACATCGTGAGTCTGACATTTCGGTGCCGCGTCGACGTGCTTCTGACGCAAGTCCTGGCGGACCTGATCAGATTGATTGGGACGAAAGGTGAAAATGCCAGGATGCCATTCTCAATGCGAACTCAAACAACGCTCATAGAACTCATTCGTACTGCCCGCAGTGCCACCGAGCGTCGATGCTGTGTCAACCGCGGTATCGACGATCAGCTCGACAAGTGGAAAGACCAGTTTCAAAGTCTGCCCAGGCTACTCTCTCAGGTCGCAACGCAACTTCGTGACGATAGTCCGCCGGTCTTGGGTTCACGGTAAGCATGCTTGACTTGATCAAGGTTTGCATGTTGAGGTACCGTGCGTGCTCACTGAAACCTCTTCATCTGAAGTCTGAGCGTGGTATACTTTCCTCAGATGGGATATCTGGTGGCGCTGTCCACCGCGGATGCGGACGCGGTCGATCTTCCTGGGGTAGCTGCATCAGTGGAATGGCTCTTCGAGTTCGCGAGCGAGATTGCTAGCTATTGGCGCAACGAGACGACCGAAGAACTCAATGCGCACGTTGGAGACATCAGCACCTTCATAGTCGATAGAGAGATCGAACTGGTGCATCAGCTTCAAGAGGACATCAGCAGCCATGCGGCCCTTCTCGTACACGCGCACAGCGTCTGTTGCGAGCTGGACTGGTAGGTCATTGTCGCCTTGCAAAAATTGTTGACGCGTGAGGCTGATATTTGGCTCGTAGCTTGATGTCTTTCGCAGCTTGCGCTTCACTTTACGGGTATGTACGTCCCACATTGGACACATCGCTAGTGTTGGACATCCAAGATGGTCGACATCCGCTGCAAGAACTTTGCGTCGAGACATTTGTGAGCATTGCTGTAGAAGGTGAAGATGGCCATCAACGATGCTGAGTGAACGTACCGCGCAAGGTACCAAACGATATCGCCATTGTCGGCGGCCTGGGCGAGGGTGCAAATGATACCGAAGACGACCATAGCCTCGTCGTTCTCACCGGAGCGTAAGTAAACGCGTTGCAAATTGGTGCCTCCGAGACGTATACTTTCTGAACAATGCGCCGGCTCGACAGGAATGCGGGCGGCAAGTCTGTCTACCTGAAGCAGAACGCGGTCATCGTGTAAGCCGCAGTGTTGTCGGAGCACTTCAAGATTGGGCGGTGCTTGACGGATGCAACTTCCTCGTCGATAGAATTCTGGCCCAAATCGGAAGCTTCATACCGGCGAGCTCTGCTCGCATTGGGCTGGTGGACAAAAGTGTGTCTTGATGCTTGCGTTGGGCTGCTTACGCAAGCAGACTGATGGAGGTGTTGCCTAAAGTCCTGTCACGCGTACAGGCTCGCGAGTCCGTTGGTCGTCATGTCAGCAGGTGGGTCGCCCCTCGTCGGTGCGCTGCAGATCTCCGAAGTCGCTGATTGGGCTGCTTGCAGTTTCACGGCCGACATGCTGCAGGTCAGCCGCGTGCTCCGTCAAGCCACAGCCAAGTCGTTGGTCTTGCTAGATGAGATGGGAAAAGGAACGATTGCAGCTGGTAGGTGCCCGTCGCGTCCTAGCTCTGCCATCTGGGCTGACAAGAGCTTTGCGTCATGCAGACGGCGCCGCTCTGTTTGCCGCCACCTGCTGGGAGCTCTTGAGCCGAGGTTCGCAGTGCCCTCGCAGCCTCGCAATAACGCACTTCCATGGTGAGCCAGACACTGGCGCTAGTTAGACGTTGTGTTGTATGGACGCTGACCCAACGAAACCAATCAGATGTCTTCGCCAAGAACCTCCTGCCAACCACTCTGCCATTCCGTAAGGCGTGCATGCAGACCATGCTTGCTGAAGGTCAGGAGGGAGGAAACGTCACCTTCCTATACAAGTGTGTCGGCGTTGCTTTGACCAAATTTGATGACAGAGGCTGACCTTCGCGATGGGTGCACAGGGTCGCATCGGGCGAAGCCCTGGACTCGCAAGTCGCTTCCTGCGCACGGGCAGCCGGGCTGCCGTCTCGTCTCGTGGATCGAGCAAGATATGTGGCTGAGCTTGCAGCAGCGAGCGATCTTGACAGACTTTTGCTGGACGAGGAGGAGCTACTGGAAGCGCACGATGACGCGAGTGTAAGCTCGCTGACTTCCTCGGCGCGCGGGAAATTTCCTGCGGCTGCATTGCGAGAAGGGATGGTCAAACGTCGGGCGGAAGCAAATCGAGCGGAAGAGATTGCTAGGAACTTCTTGGAATGGGACCTCGAAGCCGAGTGCGCTGCTAGCAAAAGGGGAAATGTCGACCGCACCAGGGTACTGAGCAGGCTCAGCACGATACTCGGAGAAAGAAAGGCGGAGTGAGGGTGCTCGCAGGAGATGTTATGGACATCACGGCTGAGGTATCGACATCACCCAGATGGTGCGAGGGCATGCGGATGTCTCTTGTAGATACTTGCGAGAACGCATGCCTGAAATGATATCGTGCCTAGCCGTTACAAAGAGTTCGCCAGGGCGATGTTGTAGCAGTGGCGTGGAGATCCTTTGAACTGACTTTGCTTTGTGGATGCAACTCGGACACACCAGAGCGAGAAAGGTCGTTTCTGCAATCGCTTAGCGCCGACGTCACCCTTCACCGCGCGTGAAAAGCGCAAATCAGAGACATGATCGATATCCGCTGCCGTGCTGCTGAACTGCAAGCTGATGTGGTTCATCTGCTTGACATAATGCCATCATATCTGCTCGCCAGCAGGCTCCTGGCTATATAACGGTATGAGGGGTAAGCTTGACGCTCATGAAGGCGACCCGTGCGGTCAAGTCACGTGACCTTGTCTCCGTGTCTGGGGAGAGACGGCGCTACGCCACATGCAAGTCGAATGAGTCAAAGTCGTTATTGCATGTGGTTGATGAGGTACCGGTACTTACTATACGATCTAAATTCGTGATCTTGTTATTTTGGTGCTTGCTGGTTCACGCATGCAGGCGTGGGGACGACCACAACCATACGACGACTTGTTCTTGTGTATAGATCACTCTTTCGACCCTTTGCTTGCTCGCTCACCCACCAACATCGATTACGCCCTGTCCATCGAACTTCTGTCCCCCCCTCTAGCAAAGGCGCTACATTTCCGACCGCCCCTGCGTGAAGCTTTGCGACCTCGACTCGTCACCTCTAGTCCCCCGCGAAGACCTTTCCGAGCATCTTTGATCTCAGCCAAAAGAAGTATTTCTTGCCGACTTCCATGGGCCCGAGCTAGCCTTCCGCCGATCGCTGGGTCATTAACTGGTATCTCAGTCAGCGCATACATTCGCCTCTTGGGGTACTTTGCCACGGGTGGATCAGGACTACTGACCAGCATGACGTCTTCGCCTTCGGGCAACGCTCTGCTGCTGAAGCGTCAGCTGCAGGAGCTCCGAAAGCGTAAGTCGACAGTATTTCGTCTGGTCACTCTGCTGCGACGAGTCACGCGAGCTAACAGCCGCTTCCGCTTCTGAACGGACTCTAGATCCCGTGGACGGCTTCAGTGCTGGACTCAAGGATGATGACAATCTGTACGAATGGGAAATCATGATCATTGGGCCGAACGGTGAGGCGCGAGACGTTGCGACGTGGTCTTGACGCTGCAGGCGGCTCGCGAAAGCTCTTCACTCACATTTCCCCTTCCGCCTCGACGTTCCCAGACACGCTGTACGAAGGGGGCTTCTTGAGGGCTGAACTCATCTTCCCGCCCGAGTACCCTCTCATGCCTCCGAAGATGAAGTTCATCACACCAATGTGGCATCCAAATGGTCAGTAGGACGAGTGCATGTCGATTTCGCCTCGATGTGGAGGATACGGGAAGGAGTTGGAGTTGCGCTTAGATCGGCCCGGACGAGAGGCGTCCACCGGAGTGGTCCGGCTGCCGCTCGCGTCGGTACTCGAGACTAACAGGTGCACCTCTCGAATCACAATCAAAGTTTACAAAGACGGAACGCTGTGCATCTCAATCCTCGTAAGTAGCTTGGAGCCTCGTCTGCTCGATGCCTCCTCTCTGACACGGCTCGCGATTGCATTGGACGCGCAGCATCCTCCTGGCGCAGACGAGTACGGCTACGAGGATGCTGGAGAGAGGTGGCTACCTGTCCACACTGTAGAGACTATCGTGAGCTTGAGCTAGAAGATTGTTGCAAAAGCTCTCCTTGCCAACTGCTGACCTCCTGAACCTTGCCTATCAGTTAATATCTGTGATCAGCCTCTTGTCCTCGGAGACACCAGACACGGAATCACCCGCGAACATCGATGCGTCTGTCCAGTGAGTGGCTTGCTGGCGTTCATCTCAACGCGGCAGGATACCTAACCTCAAGCTTGTTTCTCGTGCCTCGATAGGGTCCGTGATGACATCAAAGGCTACCGGAAAAAGGTGAGCATTTCTCAACAGTTTCGCGAATGTGTGCTTGAGCATTGACGCCCGCTCGCTTGACAGGTCCGCCAGCTTGTTCGACGCTCCGCAGAGGAGGCTTTTTGAGCACATCAAACTTCTTGCAGACATTGGACTTGCCTCTCTGATCGATCGTGCTCCGGCGTCGCTCTCCCGCCACTCTCGCCTTGAGACTCTTGTCATCCGCAAACACAATCATACACTACGCTGACAGCACTTGAGACTTGCAATCCTTGCATTTCCATTTCAGCCCATCGCCTCACCTGGGGTGCGTGCCATGGGAGAGCGCGATAGCGTGCGCAACGTCAATGGCGTGCTCTTTTGCATTTGCCTGATACGGCTTGTTTTTGTGGATCGAGCCCGAGATAGAGAGCACCCAGGAATGTCGGACGCTTCTCTGCTGGACAAGGGAAGAGCGTTTCGGCTCAGCTCCTTGTCCGCTTCTGACTCACGACGGGTGTGCCGAGTCGACTCGGGACTCAAGACTCACTCAGACTATCTCGCATCGTTGACTTCACTCGTAAGTCGTAACTCCAGAGGCGGTGCTGCTGCATGGGCCGCCGTCTGCTGGGCTTGCACACAGGCAAGCATCATCTGCCGCGCAACACGTGAAGCGCGTCACGCGACGCGCGCGCAGCGTTGGTTTGTCCATGGCTGCATATAATATTGCTCTCGTATAGAGCATGCCGCTTGCTTGGTCGACGCGGCAAGCTGAGTCACAACACTCGTTCACACTCGTGACTCTAACTCCAGACTCTCTGCTAGCTCTAGCCTGGAAGGCGTGACACCGCAAGTCATCGGAGATCTGAGCAGCTTCTCGTCGTCTCTCACCTCTCATTCCCACATGCCTCACAGAACGTCGAGAAGAAGTGCAAGTTGGCGTAGCGAAGATGTGCGGAGCATCTGCTTGCTCGATAGCTTCGACATCTCGCATCACTCTCGACTTGGATTGCCCCGTGCCTTGGCCGGGCTCGTTGCGCGACGCTGCCTGTCATCTCGATTGCTCGTCTCTGGATCAGAGTATCGATGTCAAAGTGGAGGGGAACAGGCCAACATGCGGCTTGCTGAGCAGCTCTTCAATCCGCGCGCGATATCTGGAATGCCTCTACTTGGGCGAGGCTCATTCACCCTTCGGCGCATTCATGGCACACATTCTGCAACCGCTCGACTGCAAGGGCCACCAACATGAGGTCGGAGCGCTGCACGTCCAGCAATTGAGGTCTAGCCTCATTGAGCTCCTCTTGAATCACCCCGTCCACGAGCAGACATCGCGCAAATGGGAAGATGGCATGAAGCCGGATCGCTTGATGAGACTGCACAGGGCAGAGGCGGACGCTGGGCTTCCTGCGAACCCTGCAGGAGAGGAGTACAATGATGGAGCGAGCGATGCGTTCGGCGCTTACGAGCTAAACCTCATCCGGCAGGCGCTCAAGTCGGGACCGGGAGCTGCTGTTGACTCGGAGCTTCAGGAACGCTCGGCGAATGAGCGCAGGCAGTACGAGCTTCAAGAAGAGCAGGGAAGGCCCAGTCAGCCGGAGGAGCAAGAGATACTTGCTCATAGTAGAGACCTCGCCGCTCACAAGGTGGCATTCGATACTCCAAAAGACGGCGGCGCAGCAGCAACTGCGAATCGCCATGGCTCCAAGGCAAGGCGATGGATTCAGGCAATGCAGGCTCGAGAGTGAGTGTCCACAGCCTGTCCATCGCCAATTTTCCTGCCAAACACGTGATGCTGATCGATTAGTCTGCTATCGGGCCTTTGGTGGTAGAATACAGCTGCAAGCTCTCTTGCTGCTGTGTCTGCTTCGAATCAGCGTCGACCATCCTATCGTCGAGACTGTCGCCCCACCACCAGCGGAGCGAGCTTGTAGCACGGCGAATCAAGCAGCGGCGTCGCAAGAGCTTGGCGGTAGTCTGACCCATGCTGATGGACAAGTGAAAGTGTCAGGCGTCGGCTCAAAGCAGAACGACGACAGGCTGAAGCGGAAGACAAAGCGAAAGAGAAAGGACGCCGCTCGACGCTGGACTGCCGGATTGGGATCGTCGGCCGGTTTCCCATGGGCGGGACAAACGTCGACAATCTCGCCACGCACGCCGGGCGGGACCAATCCCTCAGCACTGAGCCTTGGCACAGACGCCGCTGCCTTGGCTCATCGCTTCGAGGCTGTCGCTGAACGCCTTGCTTTGCTGGGGGTGACGACGTCGCTCAGCATGGAGTTGGGCCTCGGGCTGACACCCAGTCGACCTTCCGCTTCCCGCAACACGCCGACAATGGTACGTAGTAGAGGCGCGCAATTTGGCTCGGCAGCCAGACCAAAAGAGCCAGAGGACACCAGAGATGATCTTCAATGGCTGTGGCAGGATGTCATGAAGCCCTACTTTGGCGCAAAGCTGCCTCGTCAGGTCGCCTTTGTTCGCGCTCGAGCATTCGCGACCTCGTACGCCGCGAACACGCCTGCCAGACCTGGTCCGCTGGAAGAGGGCTCCGAAGGAGATCAAAAGGAGATGGCGAATGCGCATGCGGCAAAGGAGGGCGAATGCGCGTCACCTCGGTCAAGGCAGTCTGATACCTCTGTCCCTGATCTTGTCACCCTCAACACTACTCGCGAATCGCAACAGTCAGCTCTGGCAGCCGAACAAGCCTCGAAGCGCCCGAAATTGGAAGATGCACTCAGGACTGAATCTCGGTCTCAACAGAGGGATCGAGGCAGCCTGCGAGGGAGCTCCGCGAACTTGCGCCGATCCGGCGCTAGAGAAGTCAGCGTAGGTGGAAATGCTGCGAGGGGTCGAAAGAGCTGGGAGAAGAGCGCAAGTTGCACTGCAGTCGATCTCGCCACCTCAAATATGAGCGGAGAATCTTCCAGATCGAACACGCCCGATGTCAGCTCGCGCGAAGCTCTGTCCACACAACTAGGTCCAACGCTGTTCATGCCGCCGGCCGGACCCGCCAAGGGCCATGGTAATCTGGGCCGACTGAAGGCTCCAGCTCGAAGGCTCGACAAGAGCAGGTCTGTCAGTACAGGCATGAGCCAAAACATGGCGGAATCTCTGTCTGCTCGGGTGTCGTTCGCGAAACCAAACGGACGCACTGGCTCGGTATTCAAAAGATCCGAGTCCCAGCCTATGTCAGAGCTTTCGCTGGGTGCAGACTCGTCGAGGCGATCGTCTGGCGTGTCCGCCCCCGAGCTCCCGCTCTTGGTGCCTTCGAAGGCAGCTGATTCTATCATCTCGACGAAACCTGGACAGACCGCAGTAGGTCGCCCAGCAGCAGCGCTCGGCGCCGGTACTGCCAAGAAGCCATTTACTCGCAGCGAGTCCCAACCTGCAGGGCTGGTGGGCATTTCTTCAACTTCGGCCTCCTCCAGTGCTATCATGGAACGCAGTGCAGGTTCCGACATCGATCGACTCGTGTCACACAGTATGGGAGCGACATTGACTTCTTTGCACCGTGCGCAGCGACGTACTACACGTGTCGCAGAGACTTCAGACGATGAGGAGGAGGAGGTAATGATGATCTCGCGCAAGAGAAGAGCTTTGCCATCATTTGGCTGGTCCACTTCATCTTCGAGTCCTCCCCGTCGCTCTTCCGTCCCAGGTACTGCAGCTAGTGCTAGCGAGGACCGCCGCACTGACCTCGCCGAAGGCCAACTAGCCCCATCATCTGCTCCGACCTCGATCTTGCCGACGAGGCCTTGCATCACTCCGATTCAAGACACAAGTGCCAACAAGGAGCCAGCGAGACCTACGCCATCGGAGACGTCGAAGCCTTGCCTTCAGCGCACTGCGGGGCATCCAGTCTGGCACCAGAGCGACATGGAGGCCATGCAATGTGGATCGAAGCGCACCCTGGCCGGCAAAGCTTTTGGCAGAGCTGTATCTGGACGCAATCCTTTCGCTGCGCCTTCGCGCTGAGGAGAGTGAGGGTGGCAAGCATCTGACTCATGGAACATGTCCAGCCATACTTCCATGCCTCCATATTCAATGCTAAAGCCTTGATCGGCGCTTGTCTGCCATCAGAAATGCAGAGAGTGGATGTATACACACGTGCATGCTCCAGCTCGCGACTGCCTGAGAGGCAAGATGCAGTCTGATAAATCCAGAGCACCGTTCCTCTGTAGGTAGCACTGTTTGAAACAAAGGTAGCGAGCCTTGCATTGTTTATACGCAAGCCTCGTGGTCACTCTGACTGACAACGTCGTGTGGACGAAATCAACACTTGCATGACGATGAGACGCACGTGCATGAAGCGCGTGTTAGCGGCATGGCCCGCGGGTAGCGCGTCTGGCCGAAGCGCGACGCGTAGATTGAGCTTTGGCGCAGCCACTCGACTCCCACCGAATGCTCCTGATGGCGCGCAGGAGCAGCCTTTGGGATGAGCTGCTGATGAGAGAGAGTGAGAGTGAGAGAGAGAGGGATGGGCAGATGCATGAGTCAGCTCTCTCAGGACTCGTTCAGTCGCACATTTCTTTTCGTCTCTTCATCGCCACGTCTCCACTCGTTTGTTCGCCCTTCCCATTACCATCTCTCTCGACACTCGCCTTGCACTCGAGAGGCTGTCTGCAGCGCTTCCGAGCGCCCTTCCGCTGCGTGCGTCCTCATTGCCCGGCGAGGCTCGCAACCTCCTCTCACCGGGTCACGCGCGCTTCCGCTCAGAGTCGGAGGGCTCCGATCGACTCATTCGTTGAGGCACCTTGCAAGGCAAGATGGAAGTCGCTGGCTCTAGGCGCACCTCACGCCAATCCAAAGCCACAGAGAAGGCGGTGTCGCGCAGATTGAGTGCTCGACCTTCGGGAGAGAATCGTGCAAAGCGTCGTATAGTCGACTCTGCGGATGATGAGGATGGTGAGGAAGCATCGGCGGCCCAGATTGCATCGACTAGCAATCCCAAGCGCGAAGGTCATGGTGACGAGCGGGAACAGACCGAAGAGGATGATGCGGATGACAGCGGATACCAGGCAGCGGACGCCGACATGTCGCTCGCCTCCCAGAAGCGCCAACGCTTGGAAGAGCCAAGCGAGTTGGCGGACGATGAAGCTGAGGCAGAGACAAAACCTGCGCGACCAAGCACGAGGAATCAGGCGGATTTCAGCGCAGATGCTGGAACACTGACTTTTGGCGTGGAACAGCGCAACTCTGACGGGTGAGAAGCGTAGAGATGATGGGGGACAAGTGGCCGGATGCTGATGTATGTTTGCGCTTTGGGATGCGACCAGATACTTGCCTGGATCCATCGTGCGCGTCAAGCTCGAACACTTTGTCACGTACGATGCTGTCGAGTTCTATCCGGGACCGCATCTGAATATGATCATCGGACCCAACGGCACCGGCAAGTCTACCGTAGTCTGCGCTATCGCCCTTGGTCTGGGCTGGAAGCCTGCAGTGCTCGGCAGGGCTAGAGATGTGGCCGCATACGTCAAGCAGGGCTACGAGAACGGCACCATCGAGATCGAGCTGAAAGGCCGTGCTGGTGGTCGGAACCTCGTAGTGAGAAGGGAGATCACAAAGAGCGACAACAAGTCAGAGTGGTACCTCAACGGCAGCAAGACGACGCACAAGGAGATCATGGAGCGCACTCGTCAGCTGCACATCCAGATCGAGAACCTCTGCTCCTTCTTGCCACAGGACAAAGTGGCCGACTTTGCGAGGATGCAGCCTCCGGAATTGCTACGGGAAACTCAACGTGCCGCTGGTGAACCCAGACTCACGGAATGGCATGATGAGCTCATCAAGCTTGGTCAGGCGGATCGAGAATTGAAGCAGCTCATCGAGACAGAATCGAAAGAGATTGAGAATCTGCGTGAGAGGAACGAGGTTCTCCAGCGCGACGTCAGGCGGTACGAAGAACGACGAGCTATCGAAAAGGAGGTGAGTACGAGCGTGTAGCTTGATTTGTCTGCCCAATCGCTGACGCGTGTGCGCCACTCGGTTGCTTCCTAGGTCGAGCTGTTGAAGGTTCGCATACCTTTTGCGCGCTATGCTGAGAATAAGCGCGAGTACGACCGGCTGAAGAACGTGCGCAACAAACGCAAGAAACAGCACGAGAACCTCATGCAGGATGCTAGGCCGGTGATGGATGCGCTGGAGCAGCTTCAAGACCAGAAGCAAAAACTAGATCTGCGCTTAAAGACGCTCCACACCAACTTGACGAAGGACATGACCGTCTTTAGGAGACGGAGACAAGAGTGCACAGATCTTGTGTGTTGTCATTGCTCTTGAGACTGCTGCCGATTCTGCGCTAATGCACACTTTTCACTGACCTCAGGACAACGCCCTCAGCAACGTAGAGGAGCAACGAGACTCAGTCAAGCGGCGGGTTGAAGAACGTCAAAAGCATGTCAAGACTCTTCAAACCCAGATTGCAGCGCTGGAGCAGGAGACGGCAGAGGAGCCGGAAGTGCAAGATACTTCGTCGTTGGATC